TGCCATTTTTTTTTTTTATTTTGCTGAGTCAAAGGAAAAGACAGGAAATTTAAAGCCTACTGTACATTTTCCCCAGGAGAACAGATCGACAATGAGTCTACTGTGGGTACCGTTGTATTGGGATGATCATGGGGAGACATGTGAGGTCAATTTAAAATTCCTGCCTGAGAATTGCTGGAGTCTGGTCTGCAGAATTGCACCTGCAATTTCCTAGGTGACTCTGGGGAGCAGATAAAGCCCTGGAATTAAAAAAAAATGAGTTTATCTTCCAGAAAAACTGCAGCTAGACTATTCTGGGGCTGCCAGAAGATGGGAGGTGACTAGATCAAGACTCCCACAGGGGACACTGATAACATTCGCCTGCCAGGAATATAGGGGGAAAAGGTCTTCCATGGCTTATTACGAGGGGATCGTATACAGCATGAGTCAGACCAAGATATTTTTTCAGAGGGAAAGCATGGTCAGTTATTCTGTCTGTACTTCACAGACAAAGATCTGAACCGTATCTGGCCAAATAACAGCGGACATAACAGAGGAATGTCTTCCTGAAGAGCAGCTTTTGTGAATAGCACCTTCAGAAACACACCTACTTCTGCTCCCTTCTGCCCTGCACCCCTCCCCCACAGGAAGGAGGTGGGCCTTGCTCACTACACTGTGATTTTCATTACTCTTCACAAGAGCCACAGAAGAGCTGAAGAAGCTCAGACTGAGGTGGGTCTAGTGACTTGTCTAAGGGAAGCTCGAGGGTAGAGACAGGCTTCAGACGCCATCTATCTGATTTCAAAGTCAGTCTGATTTCTTTCCACTAAGACCACCTAGTGGTGGAAGACATCTGAGGTGAAATAAAGCAAGCAAAGCACCCCAGGCATCTCCCCTCCAGGTGCCATGAAATGAGAAGTGGCTTCTTCAAGCAGAAGAGGCGCAGAAGTGGCTGGTTGCATATTTAGCATTCATTCATTCTTCCGTTTCCTCCATCCTAAGGGGAATCCTGATATTGTTAAGGTCTTCATCCTTCTTGGTGAGCACGTTTTATTTATTTATTGTTAAAGATTTATTTTATTTATGTATACAAAAACTGGGGTCTAGGCAAGAGATGAAGAGGGTAAGAAGATTCATCACAGACAGAGTGGGGGGCAGAACAGGTGGATCTACTGAAATACACGGTTGAGGGGAGCAGTGGGTGAGACAGGAGAGGTCTGCTGTGCCACATGGGTCAGCTCCCTGGCCAGGGATCAAGCTTAGCCACAATGTCAATAGCATGACAAAGTTAAGACTTAATCTCTATGCCACCTGGCAAACCCTAGTGCATGTCTTTAAAGGAAGCTGCCCTGTCCCTATCCTAGAGGATGAGAGTGATCAGCCTCCGTCATCATGGGGGTCCCATTCCTCTCACCAGTACTTGGTTAGACACAGGTGACACAATTTTGATCAATGAAATCCTGGGAAATCTATTAGGCAGCTTCTAGGAAGGTTTTTCCACTTTTAAAATGAGCCACAGGGAGACCCCTAAAGATATCTTAAGCCCCAGGACATGATGAAAGGAGAAACTATTAGTATTTCTGTTATTCACTATGTACTGTCTCCGGTTTCCAGAAGTGATTGTTATTCTGAGAACAAAATGGGAAGCCAGTTTTATCAACCCTCCTCACAGTCCCTCCAGGTGACATCTCAGTCTAATGATTTGAAAAGTTGACACCCTAGGGGATATATGTGACCTGTGAGGGCTCCTTATTCCAGATTGATGACTTCGGGGACAAGACTGGGAGGCCCCTTTTGCCCTGATTATTGTCTTGCTATCAACTTGGAATCACCTGGAGATTTTGGCTTGAGTTCAACATGGCCACAAAAAATGGTGCAGAAGACCAAGTCATTGTTGCTCTGGACCATTTAACCAGTTGGTGACTTGTTTGCTTTCTTGGCTGAATTGACTCAGGTGACAGTGTAGTCAAAGAGTACTTATTCTAGGAAAAGCCATGCAAATCTCTCCAGAAAAACAATGGGGTTGAAGTGAGAACCATGAATTCATGTCTTTAATAAAGTTGCTGTCTCCTGGTAAGAAATAGCACATGCTAGTTCCCCAATTCTTCATTTTCCTCTTTGCTTTTTGCAAATCTCACTGAGGCCTTTCTCAAGTGCTGTTCTTGTCTTGAGTCTGCTTCTCTCATTGTAAACACTATCTAGTGTGCTTATGCAGTATGTCCAGTGTGTTGTTTCCTTCTGCTAGAATGCAAACTCCCCAAAGGCAGGGGTCTTGTGTCCTGTTGCCACCGATGTGCCTAGAATAGTGCCTTGCACCATACATAGTGCATGCTTGATGACATACAAATCGATTCTTCCTGATGGGCTCTATCTCTGAAGCAGGTTGAGAAGGTTATACAGAAGCAGAGAATATGAATTACATATTTGGTACTTCCCTAAAGGCTGTTACTGAGTCATGTCTAACATCAGACTCTCAATTTTTATGAAGTATCAATACCAGAATTAGCCAGAGGAGAAATAATTTTGCTTCTTGCAAACATGGCCAATTCTATTATTCAATGTCATTAGAGAAAAAGAATTATTACAGAATTTAGTATTAAAGATAGACTGACTTCTCTTTTTCCTTATTAAAAAAAAACTTTGCAACCCGACTCCTATTCCTTGTCATCATTGCTGTCAGAAATACTAGAGGAAAATTTAATTGCTAAGGGCACTGACTGGCTTGCTTCAGTTACTAGTTGTAATTATTTTACTTTTATGTTTTTGATCTCTGCTTTAGGAGAAAAAGCCACACTTACAGTATCTAAATAAAATCTTCTCTTCTATCTGTCTGTCTGTCTATCTAGCTATCATTTGCCATCATCTACCCGTATTTGTCTCTTAGAGCTACTGTATCAGATTACCACAAATGGGTAAGCCTGCAACAACAGAATGTTTTTCTCGTGTGTTTTCCCTGGTGACAGACTCCATGGTACAGTTCTTGTTTAGTTTCTGGAGGGTGCTACAATCTTTAGCATCCCTTTGCTTACAGCTGCATTATTGCAAAATCTCTGCTTCTGTTGCTACACGGCCACCTTCTTGATCTCTTTCTACACATTCTCTTCTTATTTATTTGTTTATATTTTTACCATTATTTTAAAAATTAAAATTTTTGTTTCCCTTTATTGAGGCAACATTGGTTTACAACCCTGTGTATGATTTAGGGAAATAGGGCCTCAGCTCCTCAGATCTATGCGCCCCCCCCCACCGAAGCACATATAGTCCTTACCCTCGACCCCCATGTCCGAACACACGACCTCTGACAACAACGCTTGTCACTAAATTTAGAGTTCACCCTTATCCAATATTACCTCACCTTCACTACCTCTGCAAAGACTATTTCCAAGTGAGGTCATATTCAGAGGTTCTGAGCAGATATGAATTTTTGGGGGGTGGGGTCACTGTTCAGCCCTGGATGTTACCCATGTCCCCCTTGTTTTATGCTCTTTCTTCCCTTTTGCTTCCCAGCTTCTCCTCAGGTATGCTGTGTGATTCCCTGGTTCATTTACTTCATGTTACTTTCCCAGAGTCTGCTCTGTGCCAGGCCTTGAGAACACAGAGAACAGTTAGGGAGTTTCACAGAGGTCCAGATGAAAGATGATGGTGCAGACTACAGTGATGGCAGAGAGGTGGCCAACATGGGCATATTGGAGACATATTTTAGAGATGGAATAGATAAGGCTTACTGATGGATGTAGACGGGGAGACATGGGAGGCATCCAGGTATCTGCCAGTTTCTGGAACGAGTAACTGGATAGACAGAGGTGCCATTATAGTAAGAAAAGCAGATTTAAGAGAGAAGATCAAAGTTCAGCTTGTGACAAGTTAATGTGTGACACCAGAGATGTCAAACAGGAAGGTAAATATAGAGTCCTGAAGTTCAGAAGAAGAATCTCTATAGAAAAATAAATTTGGAAGGTATTGGCAAATAAAGGCTTTGTGAAGCCATTATTGCTGAATGATTTTCTTTTTATGTTAGGCTGGTTTGTTTGGCTTCTTTATTTTTAAATTCATTTTATTTACTTGTGCATACAAGCTCTGGAATATAGACCAGAGGTATAGGAGTTGGAGGGGAATAAGAGGATTCACCAGAGACAGAGTGGGCAGCAGAACAGGCGGATCTACTGAAATATACTGCTGAGGGGAGCAGTGGGCAAGACTGGAGAGGTCTGCTGTGCCACATGGGTCAGCTCCCTGGCCGGGGACTGAACAAACTCTTGTTGTAGTGGCTGCACAAAGCCTCCTTGTCCTGGGAGGCCCCTATTTGGCTTCTTTTTAAAGTACCTGAGACTGAAGCTCTTGTTGCACCTTTCAGTTTCTTGGGTTAATCATGTAATTTCTGGCTCATTTTGTAGGTTCCTAATTACATCATAAAGGCACATTATAATAAAAAAGAAGATTCTTCCTTTTTGTGTGCCTTGGGCAAATCACTTAGTGTCTCTGGGTATTAGTTTTCCATCTGTAAATAGCAGGGTATTTTGCTTTAATTTTAAAAAAGCTATGATTCTATAATCTAAGAATTACTGATTATGGCATGTCTAGTTCTATGCCCATAAAGGATGAATCACTGAACCACTGAAAAGTTAGCTATGATTTGATCTTGAAGGATAATTTGAAGTCCACATCATGATGTGGACTTTTTAGTAGTAAAAGCAAACACTGATAATGTCAATGGCACCCCTAGTGATGTCATCCAGAACAGCATTTTTCCTGCACGTGTGAATATAGCATAGAGGGGGAAAGTAACATTCAGATGTTTGCTCATGCAACCAGCATCATGTTTAAACCCAAGACAACATAGCTAATTGCAAATTCCCATAGGAATGGACACTCCCCATGTGAAATAACCCAAATTATCACAGAGAGCCCTAGCACATGTCATAGCCCAGAGCAATGGCCATGAAACACAGACAACAGAATTTCTTCATGTTTTTCAAGGTAAAGTCATACAAAACAGCAACATTACAGTTGTGTTTTCTTACCTCAGTGACAGCAAAGCTTCTCTTGCCACAGGGAACCACCTTGTACCATTTGTCATGTAGCACATCCATAAACCCATGTGACTTGTATTGACTGATGAGCTCGGATATATTGGAGGTGAGTAGAGAGTTGGGTGGGAGGCCAATGCCATATCCTAGGAAAATATATAAGGTCAGATGAGTTTTTTTTTTTTTAAAGATTTATTTATTTATGCATACAGAATTGTGGTACAAGTCAGAGGTGCAAAGGCAGTGAGAGGATTCACCAGAGACAGAGTGGGGAGCAGAACAGGCAGATTGATGAAGTACACTGCTGAGGGGAGCAGCGGGTGGGGTAGGAGAGGTCTGCCACACCATGTAGGTCACCTCAGGGACAAGGATCGAATTCATGCTGAAGTGGATTTAGCTGTGCTTTAACTGTGCTTTAACCTGCTGCGCCACCAGGGAGGACTGGTCAGATGAGTTTTTTAACCAAGTGGTTCTTAAGAGATTGTCACTATTCTTGGGCCATCAGATCTGATGACAGGGAATAATGAGATTTTACTATATTTTCTCAAAGCACTTAAAAGTGTCCAAGGATGATTACCTTGGATCTGTTACCCCACTCTGTCTTTGGTGAGTCTTGAAGGGAGAGGAATGGGCTGTGTGCAATCTGGTCTTGGGACTTTGCATTCTAATGCCTTCCCCCTTTCCTTCAAGATCTTTCTTAGGAGCCAACTTATAGGTCTTTACCAGGACTAGGGTGCCCTGTCTTTTCTAGAACCCCTCCACCGGGTCATCTTAAGTACTCAAAATTAGGTTAATTATAATTTCTGCATTATGATATTATCACATCATTGGTCATACATGACACTGTTTATTTTTTAGTAATATGGTAAGCCCACAGGAAACCTATAATATAGCATCCAGAACTTGTAATCACTAACTTTGATTGTTAAAAAGAAAAGAAACTGGTATTATAAAAAATGTTGATCAGTAAAATAACTTACACTTTTTTTGTGGGAATGCAAATTGATAGAACCACTTTGAAAAGCAATTTGCTATCATTTTGTATAGTTGAACATTTATATACACTAAGACCAGCAATTCTACCCCTACATTCATTTCCAAAGAACTTCTCCATAAGCACAGCAGATAGATGTGTAATAGTATTCATAGAGGCACTCTTCATGACATAAAAATTGGAATCAGCTTTACAAGAGAACAGGTAAATGAATTAAGGATTATATTTTAAAGATTTATTTATGCATATAGAACTAGGGTACAGGCCAGTTCTGTATGCATCAATAATATAGGCCAGAGAAGCAGGGGAAGTGAGAGGACTCACCAAAGACAGCGTGGGGAGCAGAACAGGCAGATGGACTGAAAGACATTGCTGAGGGGGAGCAGCGGGCAAGACAGGAGAGGTCTGCTGTGCCATGTGGATCATCTCCCTGCCTGAGGACTGAACCCGTGAAGTGGCTATGGCTAGCTTCGTAGTATTGTGTTTTAACTCACTGCACCACCAGGGAGGGCCTGAATTGTGGAATATTTACACAACTGTTTAGAATGAAATTAGAACTAGAATCACATGTAACCATATGGATGACTCAGCAGCATAAAAAGTAAAAAAGGTCAACTCCAGAATATCACAGTATGAACCCATTGTATAAATGTGAAAACATGTAAAAGGGGGAAAAATGCTTTTAGGTATTTATATATAGGTGTGTGGATCAAAGCATATTTTTTAAAAATCAAGGAAATAATAAACAGATTCAGGATAGTGGTTATTCAAAAGAGGCAGGAAAAGCATGAGAGTGGATCACAGAGGTGGGTGTAATTTGTTGTCAAGAGTTTTATTAATCAGCATGGACCCTGTATCTTCACTCAGTGTATCTTTACTTGCTTTCAAACTGTTACTGCACTATTAATCTCTTTGATGAACCACGTGAAAGAGGCTAATTAACTACATTTTGCTTTTAGCTATTGGATAGCATAGTCAAAAAAGATGTTTTGTCCTCAAGATGATTGAGGAAGATAAATTAAAATTATTGTTAGTTCATTTTTCACAGATAAAGACAAAAAGGCTGTCAAGAATCCAACGATACTTAATGGAAACAAATACCAGCTATAATTATTCTATCTTGTAATTTATTTCCAAGGACATTTACTCTTGTTCCTTCCTTTTTTATTGCAGACATACAAATCTTCTAAAAAATCATGAAGCTTGAGATGTGTATGACCAATAAAAGAAAATAAATAATGCAGAAAAATTTGAGTTTTAAAGAGCTGTATGTTTTTTCTCTGATAATTTTGTTTGTTTCTTAACAATGGTTAGTGAAGGAAATGATGACAATGTCAAGAGATGATTAGAATTTTCCATTCAAAGGGCTATTTTGGGTACCCATTATGTGTCTAGTAGTTTTGTTTGAATGGCAAGACTGACAATAAAAGACTTTACATGGGCAGACTGTTCTGCTGATGTTATCATTAAATAACATCTTTTGTAATGGGTAGCTACAAGCAAGTAATCAGTTTTCTGTATAAACGTTTATTACAACAAATGCAACTGACAATTCAGTTTCACAGACATTCATTCAGTACTTATTTATATATCAGGCACAGTGGTAGTCATGTACAAAATAATATTCAATGACTTACTGACTCAGTCAGTCATTCAACAAATCTTTACTAAGTAAATAGGCACAATGTGAAGTGGTTGGTATTTAGCAGTGAACAGGTGACGATGATCCCTGCTGTCTCCACTAGGGAGACAGACAACAGTGTGTGACATGAAGATTATTTCATTGCCATGAGGGAAAAATGGTTCATACACAGACCTGTAGGAGCTATCCGGTGTGGGTAGATTGATGGTCAGGATAATTGGGCCAAGCTGGCAAAATATTTTTATATTTTTTCTCTAGGAGCAATACTTTCTAATAACATCTAGCATTAATCAAAGACTTATTAAACATCAAGTGTTGTTCTATTCTAAACTTTAGATAGCCTCCCCCATTTGGGTAGATCATGCACCAGACAGAGATTGTACTGAATGTTAGAATACAATTTAGTTAAACCACTCTGGAATATTAACAGTAAGAGCTGAGACATGCTATAAAGCCCTACAGTGTGTCTGGTACTATTATCCAAACCTTAGATAAACCCATGCAGAATATGTTACCTAGAGACTTAAAGAGTGAATAAGTAACCTACCCAAGGTCACACAACATGTAGTTGGCAAAGCTAGTATTTGGAAGTAGATGTGTTTGAATCTAAAACCAATGTTCTTTCCATTATATCCAGTACAGCATCTAATCAAGTCAAGGGAATACTTGACCTATTTCTTCTCCTTCAATACAGACCCTATCACTATGGTCATATTGACATAATTCCTCCAAACCAGACAATTCAGTAAAAGCCACAATCATCTAAATGGATGGTTTCCCCCTCCTAGCAGACACGAAGATATATTATTTCAGGGAAGATTTTGCTTAAAAACTTTTCCATGGCTTGTGTAGATATAGAGTAAATACAGCCCCAACTGGTACATAATTGCACATATATAAGGGAATTAACAAGGAAAGACCATGCCTGGTCATCATCATGTTTCTCATGAAAATTCCCTTAAAGCCAATGATTCCAGCCTATGTTGGTGTAGTAATGGAAGATTATTTGATTTTTAAATTTAATAAGCATTTCTTGCCCATCTACCCATTTATTCCATAAACACATGCTGATTGCCTCTTGTGTGCCAAATACCTTACTAGACACTGTGGCAGTCACCACACTGACTATCAATAAGAAGTGGGTGGTAGCATGGAGGAGGAGAAACACATATAAATAACTGCACAAAATGTTAAGAAGTTACAGGGCTTTTCTTGGAAAAAAAAAAGGGAAGGCATAAATTTAATAAAGGCAAATGACGAGGATGCAATGAGGAAGATTAATAAAACTGTGGAGTTCGAGGAATGTCAGGTTGCAACCAGATTTAATACTTTTGATAAATGTAAATATTCTAACAATAGAATTTTGACACTACAACAAAAGTATTCAAACAGCCCTTAGGGGAAAATGATTTTGAAATTGCAGGGACTGTTATAAGAATTGTTACATGGAAATAATAAATATTAAATCACTCTACTCTGTCATGTCAAGGTTAATTTGCAATTAATGGTTAAAAATGGAATACAGACATTTTAAATCTCCTATTTTAATAGAAACATTAAGTATTGACATTTTAATTATTTTTAGCAGCAATAATCATTATTAGCTAATTAAAATAAACTATACATATGGAACAAGGTGAGAAGTAGGGGGAAAAGTTACATGGTGATTGGAAGAGGTATTGGTTAAAAGACACAAATATCCATTTTATTCAGAAATATAACCTGATAAAACTTTGAGGATTTCATTTCTGTCCTTCACTTTATCAGTTGCTTTTCAAATGTGATTGTGTTCATTGGTCAAAGAATTCTTATTTTTAAATTGCTGACTCAACTTATCAGCCTGAGTTGCTTTCATTATCATTAGAGATGTGGCTTTGCAGTAAAGATGAGGTTGACTCTTTGTGGTTGATGGATGAAGCAAAATGGAATCCTTCAACCCTAAAGATGAAGGCATCAGGCACCCTGGAAATTGCATACAGTTTAATAGCCCAGGAGAACAATTTTCAGAATAGACTCCTGGTCTTTCTCCATGGATAAATCAGCTTTACTCAGCTAAGAGTGGTGGAAATATATTTTGGCTATCAAATATATAGGAAGAATTCATAGACTAAAAGAGTCTTCCTGATAAGTAGTTATAAGGTAGATAGTTTGAAAATAAGATCTCAAGATAGGGTTAAAAAGCCTTCAGGAAGAAAGATTCATTCCGTTTTGTATTCTCTTCTTAGAATACCATATTTAGCTACTTGGAGTAATGGTTGAGAATATATGGTGATAGTTCTGACTATAAAGGAGGCTTTAGAAATATTTTGTCTTATCTCTGGCACATCAAAGTGGGTAGAGAAGCTGAGATATAGGAAGACTATTCTGGGAAAAATTTCGTGGAACTGTGAATTAATTCAATATACTGAATAATGATTATTTAGTGAGCATTTATTATACGCCAAACCCATGTGGACCAGCTACCCATGTATATTTTAGGAGAGCACTATCTGAGATGCACCGCTCATAAGCCTGCTCTGCAGTGAGGAAGCTGATGACGTGTTTTCCCTTAGGTAGCAGAGTTAGAGCAGCAACTCTGCTCTATTCCAAGTGCTTGGACTCCAACGCTAGTGCTCCAAGCGTGGTATTAAATAATTAGTAGGAAGCAAGTAAAAAAACAAGCTCAAAAAAGGCCAAGGTCTTTGGCAGAAAGGTCACAAATCATTACTTTGCATTTCCATTGCTCTTTCTTCTCTTTTGACCTTTACTGTCAGCTAACTCCAATGCATAAATTTGGGACATGTGTTCATTTATCTCAACACTTTCTTTTTTTCCAGAACACACAATATGTCTTTGTGTCCCTGGTGTACTCTTTTTAATATGACCAAAGACTTTCTACATGCTCTTGAATTCTTAATAGTTGTGGTGTGTGGTGCTGCGTACTCATGATAATGTTTTAAACTCAATGTGGAGCCACTAGCTTTCCTTTTGACCTTTTTAAGCCTAAATCATCGCAGAACAGGAAATTTGGGAGGGATGCAGCCTTCATACTGAGTTGGTGCATATCAATACTGTCTGGCGGAAACAGGCACTCAGCGTCATGCCTCAAGGACACAGACTTCCCTCTTTTCTAGATTCCCTAAGCCACCTAAGCACTTGTTTTAAACTCAATGGTCAATGGGGCAGTGTTGAATGAAATTTTAGGTGGTGTTTTTCACTCTTCGAATACACTGACAATGACGAGAATGTTTCTTCCACGGAAATCCAGTCGCCCTCTCTTGCAGGGAGAGCGCCTCCGCGCGCCATTTTGAGTTTATCTCCCTCGAGAACAATGTGATGTCTAGAAAGGACGGGAACTGCAAGACACTGAGTCTCAGGAGCACAGATGGAAATGTAAACAGGAAACCAGTGGGGAGTTAATTGTGTGGCATCTGGCACTCGGGTCTAGCGAGGCAAACGAGCGATCTCGCCACTGCCTTTGACAAGCTAGGGCAGCCTCCTGAAGACAAAGGTGGAAGATGAAGCCCCTCATCCTTAGGCCGCTACAATGATTCATTATTATTAGCTGCTAATGACAGGAGAGACCTCAATTACCCTGTGCATCTAGGACAGAAAAAAAAGTAACATCCCCTCCACATCCCCAGATGCCACCAAAAAAAAAAAAAAGAGGGAATTTTTCCACTGTTACATCAAAATGCTGTTATATAATGTAGGTTTTGTTTCGTTTTGTTTCCCCCCCAGCCTTTTCCTTTCGTGCTTTGTTACCTCAAATTGCAGTCTTAATAGAAGACCACTACCGCTAAGTGTCTTTCTCCCTGAGTTCTAGGTGGAGGTCACTTTGCCTGGAGAGAAGATAAATTTCTCCTGGGAGAAGGCTAGAAGAAACAGCATCAGCTGTTACGTTCTCATTCATCACAAAAACAAAGACGAAATTAAAATTTGCCGATGTACTGAGGGGAAACAGAGACCAACTGTAGTTGGGAAACTGGAATCAGAATGGCCTTAATACACCAGTTCACATACAGGAAAGGAGCATTTTCTGGAACTAGGGCCTTGATACCCTCATGGGATTGTTTGAAGTGAAAGCATGTTTTGACAAGTGAGCATGATTGTCTTGAGAACCAGCATGTACTGTCAGAGGAGGGAAGCTGGGAATTGGGAGATGGGAAATTTGCTGGTTCAAAACATCAACTTCATATATCAGTTGTCCTGAATGAAAGGAGTTACTGACAAAGCAGTCCTTCTTTGGTTTCAAATTTGATGGATGGGTTGATCAAGTCGGAAACAAAAATTTGCTGCCAGTGGGGAGAAAGCCAAAACTGAGGTCCCAAGCAAGATTTTGTATGGTCTCTTTAAAGTTACTAAGCATTAAATGAGACCTGTTTTCCCTACATATTTCCAACTAGAGGAAAAACAGTTTAAAACCATGAAATTTGGATTCTAATTCCAGTAGTATCATCAAATTGTGCAATTTTGAAAAAGCAATGTAATGTCCCCAGACTTTCCTGTATATAAAATAAAAAGATTGCATTTCATCAACTGTGGGTTCCTTCTAGTTAAATAAAATGCCATTATTCTAGTTTGGGGGTTAAATTCACTACAGGGTTTGGCCATGAGAAGATAAGGATAAAGTTAAAATTGGACTCTCCATTAATTAATCTGTGTCACCTACCCCCAAATATTTTAAACAACATTTGGATAACAGCAATTATTTTTTTCTCTAACAAATGGGCAAATAAATGTTTGTGGAGTTGGTACAAAATAAATTCCTAACTTGAGCAGCTAAACTGTTAAGTGCTTATGAGTTGAAAATGAAAACAAGGAAGATGAATAGCTCTCTGTCTGTGACTTTGGCACTTGTGACTTGCTAGGTTGGCAAACAACACATCCTAAGTAAAAGTGTGAATCAAGAAAGACTGATTAATACCTTCAATGGCAAATGGTTTCCCCACGGTGAGAAGTTTGCAGTCAGCATCTATTGACACTTCATAATCCAGAAGGGCTTTGTCCATGATGAAGGCGTCTAATTTCTCTGGATCATTCCTGTGTTTAAGACCAAGAGAGGAAAAGCAAAAAAAATGATTCATTAATGGACAGGAAGCAATAAAGCTGACAGCTGGCTTTAGTTTAGAGGACAGAAACCTGAATACTAAGGGCAGCACAAGCTGGCTAGCTGCTGACTCAGCCTTGCTGGCATCTCACTGACCTGTGGAGAGCAGACCAGGCAAAGAGACACCCTGATAAGATACCCTGGCTGTCTTTCCAATGGGTTAATTTACCATCCCTTTTATTACTTCTAAATCTGGCAATGAAACTGGAGGGACTTTGAATTGAATGGGAAAGTGCAAAGAGAAATTTCATTTCCTTTTATGCTAAGAGTATTTGAGCTAGACATTGTGATCACTGTTCTCCACACACTTTATCATTCATAATCCACTGAGATGGCGTTGTCCTATTTTAATAGATGAGGACATAAAGGCTCAGAGAGTTGCAGTAACTCAATCCAGCTTATATAACCAAAAAGGAAGTGTTAGAGACAGGCAGTCTCGTCGATCAGTATGTGGGCATTCTTATTTCTTTCTGTCATGATCACTGTCATAACTTTCCGAGACCATGGATTATTTCATATTTATGAGTCCAAATTAGAAAAATGCAAGTAACAGATCTAGCACTCCTGAGGGAAGGGAGTTTATGGCTCTTTGAAGTCTGTAGGCTAAGGCTTCATAAATGGAAGGGCAGGGCATGGTGTGTAATAGCTCTTATTGACCTGATCTATTAATGCATCTTGAGATTTATGTTTCATCCCACCCCAAGGGGCAATTCAGGCAAGAATCATTTAAGGGAGGAATCCCGGGCCTGCGTCAGAGAATCTCATCAATGAGTTGGATTCAAGACACCAAGAGACGCCTTGTTCTCTCCAGTATTTGAACACAGGCCTGGAGACAGGCTATGTAGTGGCACTGGCTGACCTGCCACTTACAAAGGGTGAAGAAGGAGGAGCTGAAAAGGAAGCTGTTGTAGGTGTATGCCCTGCCTCCTATAGTCAGCCACCTCTAATCTCTTTTGGAAAGGAGTAGAACGCACTCACTTAAGGTGGCTTTTCCACCCCCATGGCTGTCTATACTGCTTGGCAAAGAACAACTCTTCTTAATTCATCTGGGCTCAGTCATTCCTCCCTTAGAGCCAAAAATGAGGCTGTAGGTATTCAATCAAGAAGAGTGGCTTTTAAACTCAGAAAAGAACATAGCTAGGACCCATCAAAAATCTAAAAGCAAAAGACACCTAGACACCACTAATATTTATCATTGGGCAGGAAATACATCTCTACACAGATGACCTTGTCTGGACTGTTCATTATTTCCTCTTTCTATTCTTCCAGGAAGTGAAACAGCCCATTCAAAATGCAGCCCCTCTCCCACAGGGATTGGATTTAAGTTCCAATGAGGCCTATATTTACCTTCAACCAAATGAAAAAACACCTCCTAGCCCTAGGCGGTGGTAAACTTCAGAAAGGACTGGGGAAGTGAGCTGTCTCCTAGGAGCTAATGATGAGGAATCTTAATGAAATCCTGGCAGCAAAACACAAATCAAGCTGAAAGATCTTTCTGCATTCAAAATTTTATTGCCACAGTAGTAGAATGTACTCAGAGCTACATAGCAACAAGCTACCATTCACCAATATTCTATAAATACTTGTGGCAGCAGAAACAATAGAACAAATCTGGGGTTCAGTTTTCCTAACCGGTAATTTATGAGATCTTGCTTCAGTGGTATCCTTAAATAACTACTCCTGCTTTTGGACTGCAAAGTGTGCTTAGCTACAACAGACCCCTGTTGCACAGGAAGGAAAGAAGCAATCAGCACAGATTCCCCTGGGATTTTGAGCCACTGGGGAGAAAGTGAATGGGTGTGATGCAGGTATAAGAAACTTCTAGACTGGCTGAATCATCCATATAATTGGCAGGCCTTCCTCTGTTTCTGTTGTTACAGAGTCATGCTCTGTCTTTTTTACTTTTCTTTTAATAAGATGCACACTACAAAACAGTATATGTAAACATACTAAAATAAATGAGTAATTTAATAGGGATTAATTGATTGGAAAAACGTCTTTTCAGAAAGCAAGATCTTAAGTAAGATTTTGTGCAGGGGAATTTTGATAGGAGAGGGGTGGGACAGTGGCTAAGAGCCCAGAGAGTGACCACCACAGAAGTAGACAGAGAAGCCCAGATATAGGAGGTGAAGGTTCTAATGATAAGCTCTGACTCTATTTCAATTTTACACCTATCAGTGAATCACCGGGATGCTTGTTAAAATGCAAATTTTGTTGCAGTTAAGTCCTGCCTGGGGCTCAAGTCCTTGGGTCACTAATGAACTCCCAGATGCAAAAGAGAAGTATGATTATTTCTTGAACATGAAGGACCTATTTTCCAGTGTGGTTCTTATACCAATGTGCAGCAGTGGTTGGATTCTGGAATCTGATTTTAGTTCTGACTCTGCACTTGCTCCCTATATTTGCACCCCATCCATGATCTCCTTCTTTTGGGCTTCTGCTTCCTCATCTGTGCCGACTTTTTTAATGATTGCTTCTTTCTAGGCTGGGGTATGGCCAACTCTTGGCTTTTGGCCTCTTCAGGTAAAGCTGCCCGATGAAATGAATACCTTATCTCATCCTTCTCATACTACCAGAAGGGGCTAGTTCATCAGCCATTACTATCTTACCAAAAGGAGAGAAGATAGAAAAAGATCAAAGTGGCACTAAATTCTGTCTCAGTGAGGGGCTCTAATGATTTAATATTTTGCAAAGTTTAAAGTGCCATTTCATAGTATTTGAACATCATCTATAACTTTGTGGATCTGAGAACATAAGACCTCCTCACTGGATTCATTAGATGTCCATAAAATTGTTTTAGGAACCCATTACTAGAGCTCCTGAGAAACACAAGGCCTTATGTCCAATGATATCATTTATTTATTTTCTCTCTTTCTTTTTGCACCACCAGGGAGGGTTCCTCTCTCTTTTTTTTAATGAAAGAGTTCAGGTAGCCTATCCTGCTGTTCTCTGCAAAGACACTGAGGTTGGCCATGCAGAAAGCAGTTTCCTGAAGCCAAATGAGTCTAAGAACTGAAGGCATGAGTGGATGCCATTGTCCTGAGCTTACTAGGCAGGAGGAAGCGGACTTCTCATGCTGCGGTGCTTATCAGCCCCCACACTCATGCGTTTCCTCAGGCGACTAAGCAAGCAGGCTGGTAACTATACCATCCTCCTTTGCATTCAGATTCTGAATTATGGGCTCTGATAATCTGCCATGGCAATGTGATTGCTCTTGATTGCTTCTCATAAATTCTGATGAGAAGGATGCAGGCATGGGAATCCATGCCTTTTATCTTATTTCCTTTCTACAGGAAATCTCAAAGATAAATTCCAGTTCATGTGGCAAGAGGAGACAGTCCACGGGCCTAGAGACTCACTGTAATGGGAAGGGTTGCTCTGGGACACTTTATCCTCTGGCCACATTCCCTGTGTGTTTGATCATTTCAGCACCATTGTTTTCTCAAGTGATGTCAAGCCAGCATTTACTTCCCCCACCATCTGCTACACTAATGACCCCACTGGCACTTTCTACAAAGCTACTGCCAACCTGGGACTATGCAGGTAACTAGTAATCTAGGTCACATAATTAAATGAACACTATTCCATACTGTCTCCTGGATCTCACACAGAGTGAGGATTCCTGAAACCAGAGTGAGTATGTTTAACTGTCATTTTCAAAAACCAACAAGTACTCTATCAGTAGCTAAGTGACTCCTCTTCCAGTGAGAAATTTTTGGATGCAAGAGGTTGACACTCACTTCAGATACTCCACGCCATCAGGGGTGGCTGGTACATTGTACCTTCTCATATATTCATGCATCTCTGGAAAACTTTGCCTCAGATAATCTTCAGCACTGCTTTCCCGGACAGTTCCAAAGCGGAAACCTTGGGAGGGATGATGTAGCTATGGGGGAGAAAAAGAAGTGTCTTTAATATAAGTTATTCTTAGAATTGTTTTCAAAATTTCCCTTTCTACCATTCTTTTCAATCTAATCATGAGGTAGGACTTTTCAAGCACACTTAGGCATAAATATGCACACAGAAATACACAGAGGTAGAAACTCATATCCCAGGTTTCACATCAGTGATTGTTCTATCTTTAGATGGAAGCAACAAACATCAAACAAAATTTTCTGCTTTAAATAAAGAACCTATCAGAATTCTTTTAGAAACACTATAAATTGGCATGTAGAATCAGTCTTGTTACAATCAATTCCCTATCAGACAAAGTATAGTAAATTAAGCTAACCAATGAAAGGCAGGGTTCCACCTTGGTCAGAATTCTACAAAGGTCAAGTGAAGTCTTCCATCTGAGACTGAAAAACACATAACCCAAAGTCGTGACTACTTTTCGCTTATGTTTATTTTTATGTTATAGTACATTTTAAGTATGTTGAGTTGATTTTTGGTAATACATGATGACCTCTTTCCTTCAAATAATCGTTGTGTCCATTGCTGAGTCATGCTGTGTCCATTGCTGAGTCATGCTGCATATTTGTTCAAAAGGACTAGCGTGTAAGACAATCAGGAGCCTCAAATGAGAAGGACAGCAGAAACAGAAACAGTAATGTTCTAGTTCTCCAGCACACAAGACCTCTCAGCAAGGAGGGACAGTGTAGCGGGAGGTCTCTCATAGGCTTCTGTCTGGAAGGATAATCAAGATTGAACACACAGGAGCTGTGGGGACATGCTGAAGTGTTCAGAATGAACTGAAATGGGGATGTATTTTGAAAACAGTCGAATACCCTGTAGTCAGCAGTATTTTAGTATTTTAGAGATTGTACTTCTTGCTAATTGTTACGGTTATGGTAAAGCTTGTGCATCTGTTGACTCTGTTTTATGTTGACATATTTAAGATGATTGGTTCTGACCTGCAACCCTGGGCCAGCAGTGCTCAGCTGGGCTTCATGGAGTTTATGAAGCTCCTGAAACTATAGGCAACAATTTATGTTAATATGTACTTGTAATTTTCTTCTGTGTGAGATACTATAGGTTTTTTTTTTTTTAGTAATTAGTTTTTCAAGTTGTTTACAATCCCAAAAGGTTAAGAACTCAATGAATATGGTAACAGATAATTTACACTTGAAGATGAATTAGTTTGACACATACTAAAGGTCTAGAAACATGGTCTTAGTGAAAACATTAGATAGCACATCCCCCTGCAGTGCAGAAGTCATGTTTGTGCAGCAAACTCATATGACAGATGGAGAAAACGCTCTTGTATGGCATGAATAAACTGAAATACATAGTTATTTTAAATGTCGTGATCCCTCATATTTATCACATGTGTAGGCAAACACACATGTTGGAAGAAAAATATATCAAGATATTAGCAACGGTTGTTCACTGGGTATTGGAGTTGCAGATTTACTTATTTATTTATTCAGAGATTGTGTACAGAAATATGCCACACATTTATAAGTACAAAAAAACCTTTTGCAATCAGCAAAATAAGTGACTTGTTGCAGAGAGCCTGCTCTGGACAACTGTCCAAGTTACTGGGACCATGAAGCTAAATACCTGCAATTGTTATTACATAGGAATTTACCACCTGGTTGAAAAGGGGACATGGTATACCCTTGTGTTTGATGTGATTGTTTTATACATACATTGGAATAGGGTCTGTATGTCAGCATAACCTTAGTGAAGCATCAACAATAATAGCTAATTTGCTAAATACTTTCTATATGCCAATCACAGTGCTTCATGATTTACATGCATTATCCTATTTAATCTTCACTGACTGCTTCACCAAGAGGCACTGTTATTACGTCCTTTGTAAAAGGTTAGTCAACCAAAGCCCAGGGAAGGGAAACAACTCATCTAGCATCATAGCTGGAAGTAGTAGAGGCTGATTAATGCTGGTTTGATTACAAAGTCCACGCTATCACTGACCACATCACCCTGCTTTCCAGCTCATGGCAGCAACCACAGCAGTTTTTCTTTGTTAGACTCACTAATCTTTTAAGGTGTTTAACTTAAGTCTCACACCCGCGATGATAGTCACTATAGTAACTACAGCCCAATGACTTGAACAAGGCAAATTGATCAGTATTTTCTTTGTCCAATACCTATTAATTTTTTAACACTTAGATCAAGAATCTATATGAAATGATTGATCTTATCTGCTTTCATTCTCCTCTCCAGTACAACAATAACAAAACTAACTTACTGCTTGCTTATCTGTGCTGACACAGCACCTTACTTAGACGTGATCTGTAATCTAGGCATTTCATCATCTTTTACACTTTCCATGCATAATCTCTTCCATCCACCCAAGAAACTTAAGCAGTATTTCTATCATCTTTTTATAAATGAAGAAAGTAAAGATTAGAATATTTGTTATTTGTCCAAGGAATTCAAAACTTGACATGCTGGTATAAAATAGTGAATTTTGATCCTATGACCATAGCTCTCACACTAAGACCAACTGACTCTTGGTCCAGTCTTTACAAAATTTGCTGCTAATGTGCCAGGCAGATAAAAAGTGTAAATGTTTTTAATTCTCACAAGAATCCTGCAAGATATGTTATTTACAGATTGAGATCCTGAGGTTTGCATAGTTAAAGTAGCAATCAAATTATCAATTCTAATAAGATTCAGCCTTTATTGTTTTCTCTGGTTTGCTGACTGAGTTTCAGTCATTTGTGTATCACTGTGACCTAGAATGCCACTTGGCACCTGACAGGTGCTCCACACATGTCTGCTGAATTAATTAGCTTTGTCATTATTCTTTCTTCCATTCAATCTTCACCTGTTCACCATCTATTTATCTATTGACTCTCAGATTAGTCACCACTCCCCTCACTTGCTATGGTTCTATGTTCCATCCTCTTCTCATAAACCCTTATAGAAAAGTAGAACTTTGGTAGAACTTAACACATTGTGTGTGTTTTTTTTTTTAAAGATTTATTTATTCATACAGAACTGGGATACAGTCCAGAGGCTCAGGGGCAGTGAGAGGCTTCACCAGAGACAGAGTGGGGAGCAGAACAGGCAGATAGACGAAGTACACTGCTGAGGGAGCGGCGGGCGGGTCAGGAGAGGTCTGCTGCGCCATGTGGTCATCTCCGGGGCAGGTGGGGATCGAACTCATGCTGAAGTGGCTTTAGCTTCTTAGTGCTGTCTTTAACCCGCTGCGCCACCATGGAGGGCCCTCTCACATTGTGTTTTTTAAATGACATTGTATAATAGTTTCATGTTTAGACTGTCAGCTTCTCATGGGACTGGAAGTTCTGTGCCAACTTTATAATTATCCATTGTAATCTATTGTCTTCCATCACACAGGTGCCCAATAAAATACATGATGAGTGACTGCTTGAAAATTCTTTTTTGAGGGCCCTCCCTGGTGGTGCAACAGGTTAAAGTATAGATCCATAGTCACTGCAGCATGAGCTTGATTTCCAGCCAGGGAGCTGACCCACATGGCACAGCAGACCTCTCTTGACCCACCCACTGCTTCCCTCGGCAGTGTCCTTCAGTCCATCTCCCTTTCCTGCTCTCCTTTCTGTCTCAGTGAATCCTTTCACAACCCCCCCCCCCACAGTTCTGGCCTGTACCTCAGTTCTTCTATGCATAAATAAATACATCTTTAAAAGTTTTTTAAAAAGAAAACTCTTTTTGGAACCCAGGGGGAAATGAGAACTTTGTCACACCACCTCCTGTACAAAAGGGGCTAAAAATATAGCTTATGGCTCAAGTTTTCAAAGCAAACCCTTCTTTTAAGGTAAAAGAAACTCTTAGGCTGGTAATAGAAATACTTTTGCCTTATATAAAGGGGCCCTTTCTGAAGTCCATTTCTTCACATTATGTGGTGCCAATGCTTTCTTAGCCTATGAACGATTCCTAGGCAAACTCTGAGTCTCTCTTCTCCACTGTGTCACCAGCACATTTCTTCCCATGACACCTGGAGTCAAGATCCAGCAGTGGCAGGCTCAGGAGTACCAGTGGAGGACTGACACTTTTCTTTCCACACCCTTCTGCTGTCTTTCACTCACAAGTTCCTACATCTACCTCATGATGGCTCTAAAATATGTGAAGGGAGCACTTTTGGGGAGGGAATGTCCCTCAACATTAACATAAATAGCCAGAACCCATCCAAGGTAGCATTTCATTAGCCAGACAGGGAGTGCACTCTAACGTTTTGCAACAATGGAGACTTCAGTTTTGGAACAATGGAGACTTCAGTCCCGGCCACCATCATTTCAACCCTCTGCACATTTTCTCTTCCCTCAAGTCACTGTACTCTTAGAGCGCAGATCTGCCCACGTCACTACTTGCTTAAGACCTATCAGTGACTCCCTCTGCCCTTGGGGAGTCCAGCTCCTGTGATTCTGTTCTTGACTTCTCTCCAGAAGCTCTTCACTGGCCCTGTCAGCATTATCCAAGTCTCTCAGTTCTTCAACATTTACTCTTCACTTGATCAGAGTCCTGCCTGTTGTTGCCTTTGTTCTGTGTGGAGTGCTCTTTCTCCCGAACCCCAACTTTTCTTTGGGTAACTTTTTTTTTTTAAAAGATTTACTTACTTATGCTTGCAGAACTGGGGTACAGGCTAGAGGCGTGGTGGGTGAGAGGCTTCACCAGAGACAGAGTGGGGAACAGAACAGACAGATCTACTGAAATACACAGCTGAGGGGAGCAGCGGGCAGATCAGGAGAGGTCTGCCATGCCATGTGGGTCACCTCCCTGACTGCGGCTTGAACTCTGCTGCAGTGGCTTTGGAGAGCTTCATAATGCGGTGCTTTAACCCATTGTACAGCCAGGGAGAGCCCTTTGGTAACTCATTCTTAAATGTTGGTTCCTCAGAGAAACCTTAACTGACCCCCCCGAGTGCATGATGACACTGGAAGCACCCCCACTGCATCTTGAAATTTTATATAGAAAACACCTGTCAACGTTTGCTTT